CAATAAAACAAGAATGATATTTACATTTTAAGTTAGCTCTCCATCTAACCATCCTTGATTAGTCATATTATTTTAATCACATATGAGATATAACTAAATTAGTTGAATAACTATCCCCATCTTCATTGTCTGCCTTATGAAAAACTTATTAGCTTTTTAAAATCAGAACACGACTGTCAGTAAATTATACACTAATACAAAGTTAAATATTATACATCTTTTTTGGGAGCAAACCAGGAAGAATTTCGGCATTTAGTGAAATGGTTTAATCAGATGTCTTTTTCTGTGAATACATTTTTTCAATAATAATTTGATTTAGAGAATAGTAAAAAGTACTTTCAAATATCCTATTCCTTCATCCCAAAACTATCAGTGCTAAACATGAGTGCATTGTCAAATTTACACATTTCTTGAACAGGCATCATTTATTCAATACATGTTGGTTAAACACCTTTTTTGTATGTGTTTAAGTATTTTCTTTGTGCCAGCCACTGTTCTAAATGTTGGAGGAACAGGAATGAAAAAAAAAAAAAAAAGAAACAAAACAGATCCCAGATTTTGTGAAGCTGGCATACCAGGAGTATGCCAAATAATAAACAAAATGAAAAGGAAAAATAAACAGTATGTTAGATGGTATTAAGTAGTAGTAAAGAAATAGAACAGGAAAGGGTAATAGAGAATACTGGCAGATTTTACAATTTAAAAACAAGTAGCTAGCAAAAGCCCCCAAAGAAAAAGTGACAATTAAGTAGACCTAAAGAAGACACTGACTAATTTTATGTAGGAAATGCTATTATCTGACATGATATAACAGGCTAGTCCTGGTTGCTATGTAAGGAATATACTGAAGGTGCTAAGAACAGAAGTAGAGGAAAGATTTAAGAGTGCTAGCAGTAGATGTGGTGAAAATTTGTCAGTTTGGATATATTTGAAAGTATCACTGAGAAGATGGATTGTATTTGGAGTGTGAGATTAAGATATGAGTTATGATGTCTCTAAGTGTTTGGCTTGAGGTATCTGAAGGATGTAGTTGCCGCTTATTGACTTGGGAAACTCTGTCATAAAATCTGGGGGTGAGACCAAGTGCTCAGTTTTGGATGTACTAAGTTTGAGATGCCTAGTAAACATCCATATAGATGGACGGGTAGTACATAAATAGATACATAGATAGATGCATAGGTAAATACATACACAGATACATACATAGATGTATACATACATATATAAATCAATTTTCAATTCAGGAAAAAAGGAGAAGCTAAAAGTCACCAATAGATAATATTCAAAGCTATGGGACACAATGAGTAAAGATGGGGAGAGGTTCTGATGACTGAGTTAATGACAATCCATGCCTACTTAAATCAGATGATGAAGCAGCAGCAAGAGGAAAGGGAGAAGCAATGGAGTGAGTTTTTACGATATGTGTCTATTATCCTGAAACACACATTGCGAAAGTTTTTTAAGAAGGAGGACGTGCTTATCCAGCAAATGTTGCTGTACACTAAAATAAAGTGTGAGAATTGACCTTTGGATTTAGCGAGGAATTTACCACTGCCTCACTGGTGATCTTGGCAAGTTCAAACTCTGACAAGTTAGGGAGGTAAATGCTTGAATGGAGTAGGTTTAGCATAGAATGAGAAGAGAGAAATGTGGATAGACAATATGAACAGGATGAAAGTAATCAGAGAAATGGGGCAGAAGCTGGAGAAGATAGCGAAGGCAAGAGGTTTTGGTTTGTTTATTTAGGGTATGTGTGTGTGTGTGTGTGTGTGTGTGTGTGTGTATGACGTTAAGTAAAAGAACATGATTCAGTATATCTTCTTTAACCCCAGGAATTCTCTCAATGCTTTGTTTCATGAATGTCTTTAGTAGATACCTTATCCATTTTGAAATTTAAATTATAGTATCTAGATATAAACTAAATTTCTACTAGAGGTCAGCATGTATTACTAAAATACATACATTCCGGGGAATGTATTCCGGCCACATAAATGAGGGGTACTACCTTGTTCAATTCTTGGTAGTCTTTGGTCAGCCACCATGAATCATGTGGCTTTTATACTGGCCACATCAGGCCATGGAAAACACTGTAGGTGAGGCATGAAATATCCACTTGTTACAATTTTTGGATAGTTTCTCCTATTTCCTTATGCTCTCCAGTCAATTCATATTGTTTGAAAGTTACCACTCTTCAGGGCGCCTGGGTGGCTCAGTCGTTAAGTGTCTGCCTTCAGCTTGGGTCATGATCCCAGGGTCCTGGGATTGAGCCCCGCATCGGGCTCCCTGCTCAGCGAGAAGCCTGCTTCTCCCTCCCCCACTCCCTCTGCTTGTGTTCCCTCTCTCGCTGTGTCTCCCTCTGTCAAATAAATAAATAAAATCTTAAAAAAAAAAAACGAATCATACATACTAAAAATAAAATAAAATACATACATTCCACTCAAGGCATTTGAATATTTGAATATGTATATCTAACCTAAGCATTATAACAATTCACGTCAATGGACAATTATCAAGAAGTCAAATTTAAACTCTGTGCCAGTATCACAAAGCTCATAACTTATTTTTTTCTTGAATATTTATGCACATTCACTTTATCTCTCCAAATGATTATTAAAACTAAGAAAAATATAGCTTATCCGTATTGTGTTCAAGGCACCATGCTAAGCATGTTACATATATTATTCCTACTTTTCAGTCTAAGCTTACAAAATAGATTTTATTAACCTATTTTCTAAATAAGGTGGTGTTGATCAGCAATCCAGCAACTTGCCTGAGCCTTGATAAATATGATTGATGCAGCAGGGATTCGGTCCAGATATACTTAGTTCCAAAGTACACGACCTTTAACTTTTACTACTTTGTAACACAGTACTTACTGAAAGACAGGGATTCAGTCATAAGCAACACTTACTTAGTATACTGAGTAAAGCTAAGAACAACGAAAGGCACTTAACATGACCTTACTGCTAATATAGCTGTTACTTTGTCTAAGAAAAACAGTATCTTGAACAACAAACAAAATCAATCTTTCTCATGTTTACAGATTTGAACTTTTAAGAGTCATGAAGCAAAAAAATGTACATTAATCCATATTTTTTTTCTTTTAAATGTCTTTCATTATCGAGACAATTCATCAAATTACAAAATGAAAACGAGACAAAACAAAATCCAGTTCTCCTGACAAGTCAAACACTTCTATGTTGTAAGTTGCACATCATACAGTGTCATTGCGCAATAAAGGCTGGTGTGGAATCCAAAAGTAATCCCCTCGTTGGCTTGCTGAGTTTCCCCAAAGGTTTGCCACTGGAGATGCGATTACCAGGACTATTCAAACGCAAGCAAAATTTCTGAACCGAAATTCTTAAGCCAAATCCTTATCTCTAAAGAATGCTGGCTTTCTGCATGCTTAATTTTTTGTGTGTGCAATTTAAGTAATAACTGAAAATGTAGGCCTCCATGTTTTACCTTTAAATACAATCTCAATATCAAAATTTGAATGTATGGGAAAAATAATTCGCAGCCCATTAGCAGGTTCTCATTACTCTAAGGTGGATTTTGCATCAAGGTTTAGACACATTAGCAGAAAGGACACAAAACCCAGTCTCATTTTACAATCTTGGTTTTTGGGAATCCTTGACCAGTTTAATATCCATCCCATTCATTACCTTATTTCTTTTCATTTAGTTGTAATTTTCTTATAAGTTTTAAATTTTCAAAAGTGACATTATGCAAACATCAGCAACTTCTGGATATTTTTTGTTTTATCTTATTCCTGTATGATATAAAAAAATCTAAAAACTTTATTGGGATACTAAAATAGAAGGAAATTATAACATGCATGAAATTCATAAGTTAAAATTCTCTTATTAGTAATACATATTCATCATTTATATATGATTCTTGTATAGAAAAAGAATGTGCCTTGGAATTGCATAGACATACTTTTGAATCTCTTGCATTCCACTTACGACCTGTATGAACTTGTAAAAGTTCTTTGTCTTTTATTTCCATCTGTAAATAAAAGTTAGTGTCACCCAGCTAATAGGTTGGTCATAGTGTTATAATTACTAAGTAAGAAAGTACATATGATCTTCTGCAATTAAAAGCAGTAAACACTTTTGTCTCTTTCCCTGTTATCTAAAATCATATGTATATTTAAATGAAATCAGTGATTGAATTTATTTTTAGAATAGCAAAAAACTTATTTAACGTGTCTTTATAGCAAAATAAATGAAGATATATTATTTTTAAAAATATCAATCTTTCACAATAAATTCAATTGCTAGTGACTTTTCAAACTTATGAAAAACTGAAAATGTTTTAAATATTAAATACACATATGTATATCCATGATGTACGCATATATTTATGTGTCAATTTTCTAACCTAGGAAGTATGTATTTTATCTTTCCTGAGTGAAACATCTGTGATATGAATATAAAAGTGTAACATATTCAGCAAGACTGATTTTTAGGAATTTAAACGTGGTAATTTTGAAATAAGTAAACTTTTCATAAAAAGTGAGATGTTTATTTTTCAAGACAATTAGCTCTAAATAATTTTTAAATGACTAGACTTTATCATATATGCTAAACATAATTTTTTAGTAAATGTAGCACCTTTTGCTTGCTATTTTCTATGAACACTAATAAAACTCTATGATAATTTGAATATGTAATGAAGTACATGGAGAGAAAAACCTAGAGAAATTTTGTTACCTAGGCTGAGAAGTTGAGCACTGGACATTTTACCTCTGGACAATGGTCAACGTTAACAAGAAAAACCAGAACCTAATAATTATTAGCTACCATTTAAACTGACTATGAAAGACATAATAAATATCTTCCACTGAAACGATATATGAAGTATCTATCCTACTATTCATAAAACTAACATTAAAAGCCAAGAATATATTTTGATACAACCTTGTAAGCATTAAATCAAGTGAACAATAATCTTTGGGGCAGGTAAGAGAAATTTAATGAATGAATATAACTTACCTTATCCACAATACATATCTGCTTTCTTGTTTGAGCATCAAGTATTTCAATCTCAAAGTGCGCAGATTTTGAATGTTTAACTACTGGAGCTGATTTTAGAGGGCCTGCTGAGAGCACAAGTTGAGACAAACAGTGAAAGTTTCTCAAGTCATTCTTCAGCATGGACCGTGTAACTCCTCGGGAAAATATTTCTCTCTTGCGTTCCGAAGCAAGGGACTTGTGCCTTTTGAACATTGTGTGAACTAGCAGGAGAATCTGTCATGACAACAGAAGACACTTGCAAGTATGTTGCCTTGCACCAGTTTAAATACTGCTGGTGAACCCGGGAAAGGTCAAGTGCCATGCCTTTCCAAGAGTTCAGTTTTATTTAGCAGGCTTGAAAACAATGACTGATCTATTTCTATATATAACAAGCTATTGTAAATTGCGGCAGTGTAGAGGATTACTTTACCAGCATTCCAATTATTTCTTGCTTTCCCCTTTTATCTCTGCTTTTTAATAGGGTCACTAATATCTGAAATTCCAAAAGAGTAGAAAGAGATTTTATTATCTTTGAATTCTGTACGCACTAATCTTCAAGTACATATGTTATTATTCACACATTCACATTTAGATGTATTTAAAATTAGCATAGAGCTATCTTATAGATAAATTTAAAAACACCTAGTGCATTATTACATAACAAAATTTTTTATAAATCCTGCCTAAGATAAAGATTTGTGGCATGTTTTAAATACATATAAATAAATGTAAATATATAAACAAATATATGGTTAATATATAAATATAAAACATGCTACATATAATATAATGTAATATAAATAATATATATTATATATACAAATGTGTATATGTATGATACAAACGGATGAATTCTTCACTTTGTACAGGGAATAGAAAGATGGCAAGTCATCCATGAGATTGGAATATGTACAGAGCCATTTTATAACTTGAGGAAAAAGAAGTAAATTTCATTTTAACATTTCTACACATTACATTTATTGGAAAATATTTGAATTTATGTACGAAATTAGAACTAACCACCACATTTACCACAACATTAAACTATGGCAAATTGAAATAATCGCAAAATTAACAATGAAAAATGTTAAACAACCTGTACAAAAGACTCCAAGTACTCAGATACGGGTATATCTGGTAAAGAAACAACTGAGAGATTCCTGGGTGGCTCAATCAGTTAAGTGTCGGGCCTTTGGCTCAGGTCATGATCCCAGGGCCCTGGGATGGAGTCCCACATTGGGCTCTTTGCTCAGCAGGTAGCCTGCTTCTCCCTTGGCCTGCTGCTCCCCCTGCTTGTGCTGTCTCTCTCTCTCTCTCTCTCTCTCTCTGTCAAATAAATAAATGAAATCTTAAAAAGAAAAAAAGAAACAACTGAAAACTATCCAAAACATATTGTCACTGATTCAAAGGGATATTACAGGAAAGTATTCTGAGATATCATTTTTAATGATGACATGAAAAGCAAAATGGTTAAAATTATAGAGGGTTGTGGGGCGCCTGGGTGGCTCAGTCCATTAAGCAACTGAGTTGAGCTCAGCTCAGGTCTTGGTCTCAGGGTGGTGAGTTCAAACCCCATATTGTGGAGCCCACTTAAAATAATAATAATAATAATTATAGAGGAGTGAATCTTTATATCTATATGAGGCTAAAATTTACTTTTATAATTAAAAAAGTAATGTAGTGATTTTTAATTTTGATCAAACATTATTCAATAGAGATCCACTTACACATGTTCAGTTATCATTTCATCCTCTAGACAACCATTATACTCAATATTTAATATTTTGAAAACATAGAAGACAGGAATATATGTGTCTATGTCTGTGTGCATTTGTGTGTGCATGTATTTACACACACACACACGTGTTGTGCAATTTCATCACCCCAGTTGTAAAGGACTCCAAACTCACAAAATGAATCATCCTTAACGTCTCCCTTTCTCCAACACCTCAGTTCTAATCCATCAGAAATCCAGAACACTGTCTTCTCACCACCCCATGCTACCTTCAAAATATCAATCACATCTGTATTGCTTTTCCAAACTAGTCCCCTGTGTCAATACTGGTCAATCTAGTATCATTTTAATACAGCAGCTAGAGTGATCATGCTATGATCCCTCTGCATATGGTCTATGCTAAAGCAGATAATGCAATAATCTGCTCAGCACACGGCAGAGGCTTCCTATTTTATGGAACGAAAAAGCTAAAGTTCTCTGCAAAGGTCTATAGGGTCTGCATCATCAGCACTTTGTTATATCACTGATCTCATCCCTTAAACTATCTACAGTGCCTACAACAGTGTCTGGTACACAGTAGGTGCCCAAAAAACATATATATTAAAGAAAGAAATAAACAATCAGTAAATGTATCTTGGAGGTATAGGCAGAATGGTGTGATGTTAATAGAATGCTCAGGTAAACTATTGTCTTATATTAAAATGACATAAACACAACCTGTATGTCTCTTCAAATATAGTTTCTATTTAAAAAAAAATAGTCTAAAGGACATAGGAGCCAAATTGAATGTAGCTCCCATTGACAAAGCTGGAATAATTCCAGTAAGAAAATAAATACTGATGATAATAGAATCTAACTCAAAAAATATTATAAACATCATGAGTCCATACTTTTATCAATAAATGATTAAATAATAAATAAATAAATAAATAAATAAATAAATAAATAAATAAATAGGCATAAGGGGTGATTTTCCTTACGCAAGAATTCCAAATAGTATATATGGTTACTCTGATTCTGAGTGTGGGTTTCACTTAGTGACACACTTGCAAAAAATAATTAAGGGAAAATGGAAACTCTATAGAGGAAAAACAGGCAGCAGACAGCATTTTAAGAGAGGCCAAGTTGAATATCACCATGAAAAGTCATGTTGATATCATGTACTCACAGATACCATGAGATGAAGATGCTTCACTCCTGGAGTATTCTACCAAAAGTTCATTTCCTCAGTCTAACCATGAGAAAACATCAGACAAACACAAACTGAGAAACAGTACTTAATACTCTTCAAAACTGTCAAACATTTGAAAAATAAGGAAAAATTGAGAGACTGTAACAGATCAAAAGAGAATTTATGGTAACATGACTAAAAAATGCAACGGCATCCAAATTGTTTCCTGGAACAGAAAAAGAAATTAGTGGAAAAAACGGTGAAAAGATAATAACGTGTGTAATTTAATTAATAGTGTTGTGCCAATGACAATTTCTGAATTTTGATAAATATACCGTGGTTATACAAGATGTTAAAATTAGGGGAAGCTGGGTAAAAAGTACACAAAAAACCCTCTGTACCTCCTTTTCAATGTTTTTGTAGAACTATTCCAAAATGCAAAGCATAAAATAAACACACACCTGCACCAACATATAAAATAAGGAATGGAGAAAGAGAAAAAAATGGAAATTAAAAACATTTTAAAAAGCAAACTTTCAGGTTTTCATCTGTGTCAATCACACAACTTAAAAATTTGGGTAAAGAATAAAAATAAAGTCCTTAAAAAAATAAAATAGAAAAAGTTTACAAAAAGATGCAGTGTCAAAAAAGTGTCTTTATTCTAATTGCATTTATTTATAATAAAGTATGAAGGATGGGGGTTAAGATATTATTGTTCTTTCTTTTAAAAGATTTTATTGATTTATTTGACAGAGAGAGACACAGCGAGAGAGGGAACATAAGCAGGGGGGAATGGGAGAGGGAGAAGCGGGCTTCCCGCTGAGGGGAGAGCCCGATGCGGGGCTCGATTCCAGGACTCTGGGATCATGACCTGAGCCGAAGGCAGACGCTTAACAACTGAGCCACCCAGGTGCCCCTATTGTTCTTTTTAAAATATTTTTTTTTATTTATTGATTTGAGAGAGATAGAGCACAAAAGCAGGGGGGAGGGTTAGAGGAAGAGGGAGAAACAGATTCCCAGCTAAGCAGGGAGCCAATGCAGGGCTCAATCCCAGGACCCCGGGATCATGACTTGAGCTGCATGCAGACATTTAACCAAGTGAGCCACCCAGGTGCCCCAAGATACTATTTTTCTTTTATTTATTTATTTATTTATTTATTTATTTATTTATTTATTTATTTTAAGATTTTATTTATTTATTTGAGAGAGAGAGAATGAGAGAGAGCACATGAGAGGGGGGAGGGTCAGAGGGAGAAGCCGACTCCCTGCTGAGCAGGGAGCCTGATGCGGGACTCGATCCAGGGACTCCAGGATCATGACCTGAGCTGAAGGCAGTTGCTTAACCAACTGAGCCACCCAGGCGCCCAAGATACTATTTTTCTTTACCCTCATATTTTTCATTTATTTTTGACAGAAAGCTATCCACTTCAGTTCATTTTCTATTTGAAGTACCATTTCTTCTTAGATTATTTTAAATAATTAATAGATTTATAATATTTTTTAAAGCTGTTCTAGTTTACAGAACAAAAATACATAATTGAATGCACAGTGTTTCCACATACTCTCTTCCTCCCCCATGACATAAATCTTTAATTAGTAACACCTTGCATTAGTGTGGAATTTTTGTTAAAACAACTAATATTGGCAGATATTTATTAATTAAAGTCCATAGCTTGTTTTAGAATTTAGTCTTTGTGTTTTACAGTTCTTTGAGTTTTGACAAATGTAAAAAGCCATGTATCCACCTTGATAGTGTCACACAGAATAGTTTCACTGACCTGAAAATGTCCTGTGCTCCAACTTCCCCACTGTTCCCCCCACTCCAAACCCCTGGCAATGACTCATCTTTTTGCTGTCTTCTTTCTCCACCATATCATTAGTTGAAATCATATAGTATGTAGTATTTTCAGCGTGGCTTCTTTCATTTAGCGGTATGCTTTTAAGTTTCCTCCATGCTTTTTCACAGCTTGAGATCTCTCTCTCTCTCGTGTGTGTGTGTGTGTGAATAATACCTTTAGTGTAAGGATATATCATAATTAATGTATTCATTTATTTATTGAAGGATATCTTGGTTGCTGCTGTAAACATTCATGTTCAGGTTTTTGTGTGAATATAATTTTCAAATTATTGGGGTAGATAAGTAGGAGTGTGATTGCTGGATTGAATGGTAGACCTATATTCAGCTTTGTAAGAAACTATCAGACTGCCTTCCAAAGTGGTTGTACCATTTTGCCTCCCCACCAGCAATAAATGGGAGTTCCTCTTATTCCACATCCTTATCAGAATTTGGTGTTGTCAGTGGATTTTGGCCATTTTAATTGATGTGGCATGGTATCTCATTGTTTTAATGTGCAATTTTCTAATGACAAATGATGTGAAAAAATTTTTGGAGCATCTTTTCTTATGCTTATTTG